GCAGTCGACGGTGATCACGGAAACGGGGATCAACGTTTTGATTAACATTCCTGTACACCACACGATGGGCCTGCACGACGTCTATCGGACGACTCCTCTTCCCCAGCCGGCGAATGGGGGATCGACAGCGACTCAGTATAAGTTTGTAAATACGCACTTGCTGGTGTCGGAGAGACGGGACAACTTTGCAGAAGTATCTGGAGAAGTGATCTCAGCTCACTGCAGTGGAAGCAGCCGGTTGAAGCTTTGCTTCCGACCTTTCGCGATGTCCCGAAGTAGTGAATCATCTTGTCTAGCAAGTCTCTTCTTCGACTTGCCTACAAATGCGTTGAAGTTGTGCCCTCAGGAGGTGATTGTTCTGCCAGAAATCCCCACGGCTGTGTACCTGGACGACTCAACTTATTTGGTAACCTCAGGGGACGATGATTATACGCTTTTCAACTACAGCAGAGGAGCTAAGTGGAGGGGTGAACCCATATCCGGTTGCAGAAGTTGCCTTCTACGACCTAGTTGCGATGGTAGGATCGAAACGCCAGATGGTGCTTTGGTCCTAGTGCCAGATCCACGCACCTGCCAGTACGAGACTGGATTAACGGTGATGATCAGACAACACCCGTTGATCCGGACCTTGTTTGCGACTTTGGAGGAAGCTGAAAAGAACCTCCCAGGAGTCATGATACCGGAGATCTTACGAGAGCAGGCGAGGAGCGAGATGGTCGAAGCACTCCGACTCAATCTGATCAAGTTGCCAGAGGGGTCGGTGGACGAAGAAGCCCTATCGGAGATTGCCAAACCCTTTGCTGATGAAATTTTACGCAAACACACCCCTTTTCATTGGCAGATGATGCGCAGTGGACCTGTACAACTAGGACTGGTGATCTGGCTGTTGGTCGCAGTCTTTTTAATATTGGGTTGCGCGTACTGGCGTTGTTTTTCAGGGAGGGCGCGTTTACTGGGAATTAATAGGCGTCGCCAACGAGGCGCGGACTTCGAGGACTCCTACTGTTGTGCGCCACCAGGACGACATCGAGGGGTGCCGCCACCTAGATACGATCCCAACTACGAGGGTGGATGACAGAGACCCAACAGTTATCCCCAGGGACCCTCCAGAGATGATTCGTTCTCTGGGCAGATATACCTACCCCCCAGAGTACCCGCTAGCTCATCATTCGATGAAGTGAACCTTACCAGGACCACAGAGGGAAGTGGGGCGTCGAGCACACCGCTGATGGGACGAGGCTTTAACTATATGCGAGGCAAGTGGAAGGGGGTTTCTGGACGTGGACCCCGGATCGGTACAAGCGCGCTGATGGACACCAGTCTGTGAGGAGGGGAGGATGAGGCGACCAAGAGGGTGAGAACAAGTCCGACCGGTTGTGAGTCTAAAACATTTTATATATTCATGAACTCAATATAATGCTCATCGTATTCGGTGCTACTATACTAGGGTGTGACCCCACCTCATGGATATCATTATTTCGTTTCAAACATTCATTACTATCTAAATGGATGAGGTTGGATCACACCGTGAGGAGTAACTTGATAGCAGTCATGTCCCCGAGTCAGATCAGCTGACCCCTCATTCATGATATAATCATACGTGCTTTTATTTGACGGGGACTGACTAGAGGTTTGCGATCACACGATACAATTTAGTGAGGGTCATTAAACACTTAATCAGGTTAATTTAGCGCAAGCTCAGGCTAATTCTTAGCATACAAGACTTTCGTGACCAGGCTTGCAGGTTAACCGACGAACATGACAGATTACAATCTTAAGTAAAGGCAACCGATTGATTGACGGGCCGTCGTGTCACCTCGATACGAACATCTGAACAGGTGAAGATAAGGGAAAAAGAGAACCACGAAGGCTGAAACCGTGCATTGTTACTACCAAAATTCAGTCGTTAAGAAACCTTCGAATTTTAATATATTCTCTAAATTACAAAAGAAAAAAAAAGTCGCTAAAATGACAATTGTGTGGAGATCCTTCATCCTCCGAGCCTTCTTCACCATCCTAGTCTGCCAGGAAGAAGATGAGTATATAACTCTTTCACTGAAGAGTGGTGCCTCCCTGCACCTATTGGCATACACCGCCTCCTGGCATGAGTTCCGGTTGTTTCTGCGAAGGCAGGGTGCCCCACGGCCTTTCCGACACTACCCTAGAGTCGAAGAGACGGTGCCGGATGTGAGCACAGCTCTCTGGAAGTTCAATCCGGGGGAGCCCGATCTGGAGAGTTGCTCAACTGCGGGCCAATTTCATGTACATGAGCCAGCGCGGGACACGGCAACTGACACTTGCTCGACCGAGGGGTCAACCGCCTTCGGAGAAGTCTGGGCGGGAGAGATTTCTCAGTTGGGAGAGGGATGAGGACTCTGCAAGCACCCACTCAATTTCCCTCTCCGACATAGCAAGGGCTAGGAGGAGGAGGCCGAGTGATAGGCCCAAAATTAGGGACCTCTTTGACGAAATCAGACATACCATTGGCGCGGAAGAATATCGGGCGCTCCAGGCCCAATGGGGAGAGGGGAATTGGTCAGACGAATATGACGAATCCTCAACCAATTCGGGGGCCGAAAGTTAGGAGAGGACAGTTTATAAACTCTCGCTAATAACCAAGGAATTTATAAAGGAAGGAACTGATTAAACTTATATCTCAAACTTAAACTTAACTATATCTTATACCTAAATAAAGTATAGATTGTATATAGTCAGTAATTCAGTATTTAATGAAGAAAAAAAAGGGGAAGAGAAAAACCTAACATTATTCGGGAGAATAATAGACTAGAAGGGAAGACTGTAGAATTGGTAATTCTAGCAAATTTTCGACTTAGCGTATTTTCTGCGCATTTTATCCTAACATGATAGTGAAAATATTAGTAAATTTGGTTCAAAATCGGGTTATGGTTAGTTTATTGGGGTCGTATGACTTTGTTGCTTGGGTCAAGATTTGACACCGAAGTCAGATGTTATTTAAGTAAGTAGTCAGATGTTATTTAAGTAAGTAGCGAAGGGGGGATTTAATTGATAAGAATCATACGACTTCGGTACTTACCCGATTTACGATGCCAACCGCAGGGGGATGTATTTACAAAACGTGAACAAGTCGATAAAAACCCCGGACTTGGGACCCGTCAGCTTTGACAGGGGGAGTAGGTAAAAGGGAAAAACCATAGGGGGCAGTTGTGATTAAGGGGATGACAGCACCGATATGAAGTGGCGTGACATTAACAAAAACGGAGCACAAATAGAGATAAGAAGAAGTGGAGGTTAGAGAGCGGATTAAAAAGAGAACGAGTTAACGAGCGTAAGATTCAGTAGGTCCCAGTGTGGTCGCTATCTGAACTCATCTGTTAATTGTTTCACAGCGAGTGAAGTAAGAACGTAAGTCGAAGTGCCTTGTGGAAAATTAGTTAGAGCAGAAGTTAGTACAAGTCAGAGAGCTTAGTCGACACGTGTACTGACCGAGTACGCAGAGAAGAAATTGTTAAGTGTGTACAGATCGCAAACCATTCTGTTGTATATTGCTAAATTTTATGCTGGCCGAATTAGTAGGCCCTTTGTATTCATTCAGACTTATACATATATTGAATTCATTTGAGAGAAAGGAATTCGTTATACGCGACTTCAAGCCAGATATAGCAAGCAAGAGCATCACTGACTAAGGGGGAGCAATAGAATACAGTAGAGGACAACTCACCACTAAAAATAACCCTTTCGGGATTGTCGTTAATACCGAGCCTTAGTGCCCCCCTGCTTTAGCACGGTAAAAGGGATAGCTTCGCAAGACTGTGTGTGAAAATCCTAAAGACGACAGAAAGTGTATGACTAGCATTTTTCCATATATGGAAAATGTATGACAAGTATTTTTGGTCATCCCGGGTAGCGTGAAAAAAATGGGACAGAAATTATGATCCATTCTGTCGACCGGGAAAAAAGAATTAAGTGTCGAGAAAAGCCAGATCGACTAAAATTTTAATCTCAACTTGAAAGCTAACTTCAATGGGGTATAAAATTTTTTGTCAAAAACTATTAGTTTGAAGCCGAAAACTGACTGAATAAAAAAACTCAAGCTTAAAAATTCCACTTTTGTTTGCAGCATACATGTACCATTTACATGAGTAATTTTTGGTTGAAGCAAGATGAATTCGTGCGTAGAAAACTACCGCTTCCGTTGTGTAAATTAATGTTTATCTCAATTTCCCAATTTTTCATAACAGACTGATTAAATTAAAAATGAAAATGATATTGATTCCTCAAAAAAGTTATACGTGTTTCATTCTAATCATCTAATTGAAATGGACTCCAAAAGAAACATAGAACTCGCTGCAATCCGTTATCACCACCAGGGGTGGATTTAAGGGGGGGGGGGGGGGGTGGACGCCTTTTTCTCAGGGATTCGACCCCTTGCCGACCCAAAGGGTCCCCTTTTTGTACTATTTTGAGATATGTTTAATTTGGTGACGAAATCTAAAAAACTTTCTAAAGACACCTTTGCCGCCAAAATATACTATCTCTGAGGGGGGAGTGCGCGCCGAAAAAAACTTCAAAAGTTTCCAAAAAGTACAAAAAAACGCTCTTTTTTTGGCCTGTTTTTTCAGAACTTTGCCTGCGGCGCAGAAAATTTGGCCAAAACAGGTTCTTTTTTGTGCTTTGGGAGCGAGCTCGGAAAATCAATTTGGTTGACCTAGAAAAAAAACTACCAAATTTTCGAAAAATTTTTCAAAATCCGATCCGCCACTGATCACCACGTTTTTGCCGTTTTCAATGAAAATTGGACGATATTGGAAAGTTCGCATTGCCCATGGCAGGCACTTCTGGTAATCATGTTCACGTACATGCAAATTTCACGGTCGTACGATTGTTATCACAGGAGGAGTACGATCACACACATTTACACACACTCACATCACACACAGACACATACACACACATACACACACAGATACATAGACATACACACCCGCACATACACAAATGATAATCCTAATTGACATTAGAGACAACTTGGACCCGCAAGTGGGCGACATTGGGCTGGATGGCGACAGTTTCAATCTGGCTTCATTTGCGACTGGATCTGTGGAAAGCGAAGAGGGCGATGGCGACACGGATGAAGTGTATCTGACGTGTCATTGGGACGGGATGGAGGTTTTGGTGCCTAACACTGGCAACCTCAGTTAGTTTATTTCAATAACAACGGGTTTTTAAGAAGGAAAGATTGTGTTTGATTGTCATTGGGTACCGCATTCGAATATTTAGCCATGGAAAGTAGTAACTAACCGCAACCTGAAAACCCGGGTAATATTAAAGTTCGAAATTGTAAACGAACTTTATATCTTGTAAGAATGAATTCAAAATTTTACAAAGTTCTTTTATGTCAGCCAATTTTGAAGTTCGGGTTAGAACTCAAAGATATTTTTGCCAGTTAACCCCTGCCCTCCGCTCCCCGCATATGTATAGGAACTAGAAAATATTTTTTATCACTTCGTCGATCAAAATGCAACTAACTAAAATCTTTCCTATCTCTCTCTCTCTCTCTCTCTCTCTTCAAGGGGATTAAAACAAAAAAAGTTTTCAGATTTGACCTTCGCCAGTTTTCAAAAGAAGTCCTATTAAAAATCTAAAAGATCAAGCCTCTCTGTAGATTTAGGGTATAGCTTTTCTAAGTTCGTTCCTTGGCTAATGAACTCAGCGGGGCGTCCTAGGTTCACTTTTATCCACAATCCGGAAAGGATTATGTTGGTGGCAAGTATTCTTTTAGTATCAATTATTTTGAAAAAAATATGAAATGGCGATTTTCTCAATCTGCTCAATTTTATTGATGTTTCTTCCGTGCTCAAGTTCAAGGTTGACCATGCTCGATTACTTTTAGTTATTCTTCGACCGGGCTCGAGAATTATTCGATTTAATGCTCGATCCAAACCTATGTTTCGATTAAAAACTTTTGGTCGAGCCTTGACATTGTGTGCACTTTTCAATGTTCAAACATAAATTCAGAATTTTCACTGGGACCTGATTTTAAGGGCTTTCTCGTCGCTTTAAGATGAAGCAACATTTCTCAACCCAAAAAAATATAACCAAAAATTGTATATATATATGCATTAATCAGTGATACTAAAGAGCCACTGGCTGGTCTTAACTGAAAACGACCAATGGATAGAAAATAGGTACATTACATTGGTAGCCTTCCACGCAATAAGTTAATAGGTGCGATTTTGTAAATTTCTAAATTTTAGACTCTAATTGTCTGAAATAATAAACCCATAATAACTAATAATTATTTATTAATTTGGATAATTATCTAATGAAAATAAATGTTTTAACAAGACTGCTCGTATCAGGGCGAAGCCCTGAATGTTCCGACTGCCTTTTAAGGTTTATGGAGCAGTAATAACCTACAAAATTAAAAGTGATAAAATAAAATGAATTTTTTTTCTAAAATTTGAAATTTTTTATGAAAATCATCCCCCCACACGCCATATGTCTAGAACTTTTACGTGGTACCACTATTGCAGCCTAATTTGGTCAGGTTGTGGTAGACCTGAAGCTGGAGGTCAAGTGAGAGCTTGTCCTCACACACTATCGATCCCATGCCATGGCAATGATAGTGTGTGAGGACAAGCTCTCACTTGACCTCCAGCTTCAGGTCTACCACAACCTGACCAAATTAGGCTGCAATAGTGGTACCACGTAAAAGTTCTAGACGCAAAAAAACGGCCTTGAGTCGCAAAAAACAGCTTCGCTCAGCAAAATAACACTGTTTGGAATGTGGGGAGATAATACAAATGGACTATCCTCGACAGGACTGTTAAGGCCTACTGATCAGGGCCTTTCAAAGGTTAATTGTATAATCGATTAATCGATTAATCGCGAATCGATTGATTGATTGCGACGCTTTCTCCGTGAGTCCAAATTGATCGTTGAGCGCCGGTTAATCGTCGATTATTTACATTGTGTCAACACTTCAGTTTTCTTTCAAGTATATTCACACAGCTGCAGCCACTCACTTTTGTATTTGTTTACTTCAGAGCAAGATGACTGAGCCGAAAACTGTAACTTTACGATACTTTGACAAGGAAAGCGAAGATTCAACTTCGTCAACATGGAAATGTCACGGAAAAGTTGGCAATGAACCCTGCGAGAGGATTATTGTTCGAAAAGCAGGTGCTGGTTGGACAAACACGTTTAATCATGTGAAGTCCTTCCATCCAGAGTGGGAACAAGACTCAAAGCAGTCCCAACTTGCATTCACCGCATCTCCTGTTGAAAACGTTTATTGCTGGATTGACTGGGTTACGACCAACCTCAAGCCTTTTTCATTTGTAGAAGAAGAAGAAACGCGGAACTATACGAAACTCAAACCGATTTGCCGCAACACTTTGCTGAAGCACATGATTGGTGTCACAAAACAAGTTGAGCAGAAGATAAGTAATCTTCTATCTGGAAAGAAATTTTCTCTTCTTATTGATGGCTGGAGCAAAGGTAGCACGTATTATCTTGCTATTTTTGCTGCGTATCCTGAGAAAACGGAATCTAGCTTCGCTACTTGCTTGCTGACTTTCACGCCGTTGTGTGATGAAACTTCACTTGATGCGGATCAACACATTCGAACAATCGCCTGGGTTGTTCAGGATTTATACAAGTTACAGTTTTCAAACGTCAGGGAGTGGAGTGGTCGCAATTTACCCTGAAATGGCCCACTACTTGCTACCAACTTCTAGAATTGTTGCAAATCCGGTTTTCGAAGCAGCCATCGTGAAACTACAAAATCAACTGGAGTTGGACGAAGAGGAACGAGATGCAGTGAAAGGGTTACTCAAACACTCAGATGTAGATGCTGTACAAGAAGTTGCTGTCACAGAAACAGATTTTGCGAAAAACATCATCAAGAAAAAGCGGACGTCTGCAAAAGGAGTAACTGAGTACGAGTCAACAAAATTCATTTTTCCTACATCCGACATTGTTGAACGTTTTTTCAGTTCAGCTGGATATGCTCTATCGGATCTGCGGAGTAGCATCCTGCCTGCGAATCTTGAAATGCAGTTGTTTTTAAAAGTGAACAAGTCTTTTTGGGACCGAAAAACTGTGCAGAAGGCCATGAATAATTTGTAGTTCGAATGTGTTCATCTTGTATTTTTGATACAAGAACCCAAGTTAATTCAATGTTGATGACCGTTAATTTTTTCGAACTAGTAATTGCCGATTAATCGAGGTTGACCTAGTTAAATAATCGATTAATTGATCGGGGCCAAAAAAACCGACTCGGTTAATTGCGATTAACCTTTGAAAGGCCCTGCTACTGATAGCTCCTCTGCAATTCGCAGGAGCTACAATTATAATTATATAAAGTACAAAAGGATAGATTTAGCTCCTCGTAACAAATCAATTATGACAAATAAGCTTCTTTCAACCAATTTGGAACGATTTCTAAGACGGATTAAATCACCTTTAAACCCCAATAACTTTACGAAAAATGATCACAGGTGAAATATTTTTCAAATTTAGGCTCAGAACCGCAATACTTTTTGAATGATAATAGTTAAAAAGTCGAATTTGTCTGAAGAAAAAAAACCCAACCCGAGCACTAATATTCCGTTACTTTCGTATCGAAAGTCGGAACAATAATGATTTTTAATTTTTATAATAACTTTTTTAGGTGACGTGCGACTGAGTCTGCTAGATGATAGTTGTGAGCTGGAAGAAACTTCCGATGGCCAGTTCTACCACATTTACTTCCGATACTTCAACTGCTCCAGTCTCAGAACATCGAACAATGGTAATCTCTGCCTCTTCATCTTATCATTTTTTGCCATAGTATTCAGACTTTATACTATTGCTTTTATGTTCTGTCGTATTTGAGAAAGAAAATTTCTTATTTTGGATCGAAATATTGTTCTAAAATGCTCTTTCAATAAATAAAACAAGCATAAATATTCCGTTTTTATTTCGAATGGCGGAACAACAAATTAACTGTGTTAGTGAAAATTGACATTTGTTGACATTTTCCAAATATACAAACAATTAACTAAATCTCCTGAAAAAATGCAAATTTAAATAGAAAAAAAAACAACAAGATTAAGTCGACTGTTGGTTTTTGATTATCTGGTATAATCTGAATCTGATTTAAAATTATTTTTCATAAACTACTAAATGAGTATTTTACATAAGCACACACCTAAAAATCATTTCAAAGGGATCTTGGGAACCTGAGTACTCATAGTATTAATTCACGCCAAAAGTTGTCTATTTTTAATTTATTCATATTTTTTCACAACCAGACTCAATCGTCTACACGCAGTACGTGTTGATGAATGACAGCGTGGACCCGTTGGATGACTCATCGGGACTCATGTCAATTGCCCACTCCAGTATCTATGCAGTGCTTCGATGCGAGTACTTCCGAGACTCCCTGCTGATTAACTCGGTTCTAGCCGACAACGACCCCTTGACAGTGGCGGACTCGGGCAACTTCAAAGTGGAGTTGCTATTGTACACGGATGCAAGTTACACACAACAGCATACGTTAGTATAAACCGTAGCGATTTCAAGTTGGGTGGGGGTATTCTTTCAGGTATTCGACCCCTTAAGTTTTTGAACTACTTTACGGCGTCTTATTTTGGCGGCAGAACCCTAAATGTTTTCGAAAGGCGCCTTTACAGCCAAAATGCACTAAATTTGAGAAACTTTTTTTTCATCAAAATTTTGCGTGCAGCAAAAAAATTTAAAAAAATTGTCCGTCTCGAAAAAATTGTCCGTCACGGGTGAGAGGACCAGCACAAGAGCTGTACAGCTCATCACGGCGAACCGCTGTTGTGCCCCTGTTTAAGAACTACATGCACTTTTTAAGAACTACATGCACGGTTATTTTTCTGGGCTGGGTAATGTTGCTGCGCCCTCAAGCAACGAGCACATTTTAAAGCGTTTATAGCTTCAATAGAAAATAAAACATGTTTAGTTTGATATTTTAACCATTTTCTTACACAAGTAGGTCCTACAAAATTTGCCAAAAATTTAAGTTTACTTTCACTCCGTGGTTTTGCAAAGGTGCAAGAAAAGGATGCGTGAGCTTCAAAGGAGTGTTTCTGGAAATATTTTTTCTTGTGCTCTCAAAAAGTTTCTAGAAATCTTGGTGACATTTTATATTCCGCGTGCGCTTTTGAGTTATGACCGAAGTGTAACTCATAGAGTAATTTCGGATAGGGTACACCGTCTGCTCGTCACGCTATCTTATTTTCGGCCGGATAGATTCGTGCAACTTCTTAGTCTAATACCGATCCTAATCTTACTCTTATATCTACTAGTCTCAGGGTGTTTAACTAGTCTCTGCTAGGCTCAATAGATCTAGAGTATACAGGCTTATTGCGATTGCTAAAGTTCTCTTGGAGAGGTAACTAATTTCTAAGTTAAATTCAAATCTCTCTGGTGCTGAAATTACAAGTAATTTCAGCACTCACAAATTAGTGGGTTGTTAGTTAGATGGATCGTGATTGGTTAATATTAATTATTTTATAGTGATAAAATATCCAATTTATAACCAATAATAAAAATATAGTTTAGATCTGGTTCCACTTTTTCTAAGTCACAACATACTTTGTCAGAAACAAAAACTTCCGAATATCTAATGATGGTTTCTGAAAACTAACTAATTTTTTAGGCATTTTTCTTTAAGTTTGAGTATTTGAGTTTATATGGTGGCATCAAGAAAAAAATGTTTTTGCAAAGAAAAGACGCCTAAAGCTCGTACTTCGTTTTGATTCTGGTTGCTAAATGTTTTCAAAGAGTAATAATTCAAAACAAATATTTAAAACTTAAAAAGTCAGATCTATTGAAAAGTCTCTACAAATTATTTAATAACCGACTATTGCTTCTCTGAATCCGACCTTGATGAAGATCTGGATGAAAAATTGATGACAATTGATATAATTTTCAGGTCATTCCCGGTCGGCGTGAGTGACAGCGAGACTCTGTTCATGGCAGCTGCCCTCTCCTCCTCCGACGCCTCCCTCCGAGTAAACTTGGAGTCCTGCTGGATCTCAAACTCCAACAATCTCTACACTCCTCAGAGGAACTACATCATGCAGGACTAGTGAGTGTTCCAGACTTCAGCCACAGTTCGATCGAGTTTTTTTTCTACATATGAGAGGTTGCAATGATAAATTACAAGTTTTGCTACCCTATCAATTCAGAATTAATTGGTTATATATACTGAAAAAGGTTTGTTTTATCCCAAATTTTTCAAAAATAACCAAACTACATTGATTTATGACTTAACCAAAGACATAAAAGCAGTTGATTTAAGACATAGACATAAAACATAAAAGCAGGGATTTTTTTTGTATTTACAGTTGATTTATTGTAGCCCAAAATTATTTATTCTAATTTTATATTTTCGTCTGTACATCGGCACAGTTAGTTGATTTATCGTAGCCCAAAAAAAAGTTACATCAACCTAATTTGAATACTCGATTTCTTTTTCAGTTGATTTATTGTAGCCTAAAAAATTTATTTTATTCTACTATTATTTCCGTCTATCTACATTTGATTCATTGAGCGCAAAAATAGTTGCCTTAATCAATTTTTAATTTTTTTTTCAGTTGTTCAGTTAATTTATAGTAGCCCATCCCTCTGACGTTTGATTAATGTTTATGTATATAATTTTGATTTTATACTTATTTTGAAGGTGAGCGCCCCAAGAAAGCGCAATTTTCTGGTCAAATATTTCTAACGGCTTTTTGTGACCTGTTGTTTCAAAAATTTGCCCGCGGAACAAAATTTTGTCAAAACAGGCTCTCTATACTGTTCACCCCCTCGGTAATTGCACCGTAAACCGATGTGTCAGTAAATTACCTGATCAGTAAACCGATTTTTGTAATACTTACATCAAATTCGGAAGTAAAAATTAATAAAATAAATGTTTACAGAGCTAGAAAATTAATTTAAAACTAAGGGACGCATGGTAAGGGTTATTTTGTTGCATTTTTGATTTCAATTTTTGTTTTGAGGAAAAACATTGTTATTCTGTAAACTCTCAGTTTTAAGCTAATGTGATTATGTAATTGAATCATGAATCTTCGATTTACTGATCTGGTCCGCCCGTTTTTGGTTTACTGATGCATCGATTCACTGATCTACCTCCCACACACACATAAACACACACACACACACACACACACACACACACACACACACACACACCACGCACAAAATATATTCGATTTTACAAAACTAGGGTTCCGGACTATTAAGAAAAATGAGGATCCATGACTAATCAAGCAACAAAGATATTAGGTCTTTATACTTAAACTTGTAACACACCTCAATACACCATAAATTTATTGCGTGAAGAGTTTTTGCGTGAAAAAAAGGAAAAAAAACGCTAGAACACTTTTTGAAAAGAGCAAGAACACGTTTGTCTCTGTGTCATACTCGTTGTTTGTTTTTCACAGCTGTCCTGTGAGTGGTGACTTCGACTACGTGTCTCAATTCAGACGGGACTGGTTCGTTCCCTTCTCCTACCAGGCACAGGTGATCATATCCCCAGATGGCAGTACACTGCAGAGTGTGTTCTACATATGCCAGTACTCGCTATGCGACACATCTCCCGACTCAAACGAAGTCTGCCAAGGTCGGTCGGTTTATCTTAAATGTTTTGAAAAATATGGAGGTGAAATATTACAAATAATGAAAAATATATCCCACACACATTGGATTCTTTTGATTTGGGCGGCATTTTGTACTCCTAGCACACTTGGACCTACATTTCAGACGTACTTAGTGACTGAAACGTTAGAAGTGAAGGGTGCAAGGGCTGAAATGCGAAATGCGCGATAGCCAATATTTTGGCATGTCCAGTGAAATGTTATAGCAATAGCACCAAACGACCAGAGTTGCATGATTAAAATCAACCTGATATAAATGCGATTTTAATCGAAGAGTAAAAATTTAAGAAAATCAACCGCGCTGTTTAATGCGTCATCCTGCCAAGGGCCGCAGTAAAAATACAACGCAGCACTTTTCAACACTTTTGGATTTGTCCATTCCAGCCTCAGAAACCGACTGGGATTGGAAAACTGTGGAAACTTGAGTTCTGTTTTCGGGTACTGAATCAGTAATTTCACGTGAATTAATTGATTCTTGAAACAAAAAAAAGTTTTCAGTAGAAAACCAAAATAAATCAAGATAAAATAATAAAAATTGGATTTAAATCAATCAAGAATATACTGCTGTTTTATAGACGAGTCGAGTTGTCCTGGATCGTCAAACAGGAACAGACATCGCCGACAACTGGCATCGACAGCTTCAAATCTGAAGAAAGGACTTCTGTCTGTAAGCATTCACTTCGAAGTTGGGACCGCCCAAGCTGAAAGTGAGGTTGCGGGAGGACAAGTTTATGACCAGAACAGACCAACGAACGCACAAGGTCAGTTTACCCCCCCCCCCCCCCCCCCGCCTGCAATACTTTACCCCCCTTCACTGCAGTGTTTGGATCTCCTTAACATGCTCCACTCCTTTCAAGAAAGGGGGGACATTGTTAAGTAGATCAAAATGGTCGATTTTTCGACCAATCAGAATGCAGCAAAATTAGAATTTTCAATAGAAAGTTCAGTGCTAATTTACTGCATTTATTTATAGGGGTGGAGATTCTTAAATAGGTACCATAGGGGGGGGGGGGGGGGGGGATTTTAGTTAGATCCCAACACACACCTACAAAATTTTTACCCCCACCCACTCAGCAAATTTTTTTATAGCTTCAACTTTTGTTCTTATTGTCCATTGATATAAGGGTTATTTAAATTTTTGTTACATTTTCTAATTGCTTAACTTTTCACCCCAATGTTTAGACACTGAATACCACAACACAGAGGGCGACGGATCTCAACCTGACAATCCGGCCCTGACCCAAGCGTCCACACCTATCATAGCATGTCTAGCAGGAGTGATTGTACTTCTAGTTGCCGGCATAGGGGGTGGTTACTTATGGATTCTGCGGACTAAAAAGAAAGCTGCAAATCCTGCAATTCATTGAATTTTTTTTTGAGTTTATATAAACAGCTTTCACTGAGGCTTAATGAAAAACTGGCGGATGTTCAACAAACCACCATATCTACAACCGCCATTTCTTGAAGCCGAAATTACATCAAATTTACCTAAATTACATCGGAATTACATAACAATTGCTTAACAACAGTGAAAATCAGCTGTTATGTTGTATAATATTATTAATTTTTGGCTTGTTGGAATGGTAATTTTATTTTCGGTTTGTTGGCTGTTCGGCTTGTTGGCCTACCACCGAGAAGAAATACCGTCAAAGTGATATTTTTTGATGTTGCTTTTAAAAGGTTTTCAAGAGTGATCGTAAAAATATCTGATGTATTTTTGATTTTGGTTGAGTGTGTTAATGAATGTGTGTTGCAATTAAAAAATTTCTTATTGATGCTATTTTTGAAGAATTACAAAGAGCAGAACAAATCATTATGCAGCATGATAAGATTCGATGTTGACATCAGCGGCGGGTTTAGGGGGGGGGACCAGGGGCCGATTTAGGGAGGGGGACCAGGGGCGGATTTAGGGGGGGGGGGGCGGGGGGGCGGCGGACGCCCCTTCCCTCAGGGATTCGACCCCCTGCCGACCCAAAGGGTCCCCCCTTTGATACTTTTTCAGAAATCCATTTTTGGCCGACCGACCTTAAAATTTTTCTAAAGGCGCCTTTGGCGCCAATATATACTAACTTTGAGGGGGAGCGCGCGCCAAAAAAAACGCGTTTTTTTTGTCAAAATGTTTCAAAAAGTGCCCAAAAACGGATTTTTTTACTGTTTTTTCAAAAATTTGCCTGCGGCCCAGAAAATTTTGCCATAAAAGGGGCAAAACAGTGCTTTGAGAGAGCTCAAAAAATCAATTTGGTCGACCTAAAAAAAAAAAGTCGTCAAAATTTTTGAAAATTTTTTGAAAATCCGCCCCCCCCTCGAGAAAATCCTAGATCCGCCCCTGGGGGGGACGCTTTCTTCCTCAGGGGTTCGACCCCCTGCCGACCCAAAGGGTCCCACCTTTGTACTATTTTCCAATATCCATTTTTGGTGATGTACCCTAAAAGTTTTCTTAGAAAACATTTTTCGGCGCGCACTCCCCCCTCAAAATTAGTATATAAAGGCGCGCGCCTTCGGTGCCAATGTATACTAATTTTGAAGCCGGAGCGCGCGCCGAAAAAACGCAATTTTTTGGTCAAAATTTTCCAAAAAGTGCCTAAAAACGCCTTTTTTCGGTCTGTTTTTTCAAAATTTTGCAAGCGGCGCAGAAAATTTGGCCGAAATAGGGACAAAATAGTGCTTTAGGAGAGCTCGAAAAATCAATATGGTCGACCTAAAAAAAAGGTCAACAAAATTTTCGAACAATTTTTGGAAAACCGCCCCCTCCCCTCGAGAAAATCCTAGATCCGCCCCTGGTTGACATATATATTCATGACAAGGTGCGGGTCTTTGCTGAACGGTATAAAATGCCAAAAAAATGCCAATTTTTTTCGAACTATCCTGAAACTCCAAAAAAAAACACTCTTTATATACTGCAGTCCAAGATTCAGAAGCATTTTGTAAGAAGCCAGACTCAAAAAATTGCCATTACTAGGCATGGGTTTTTTCGATTGTCCACAAGCAATTTCAGCAGCGAAATCCCTTGTCTAAATGTTGAAAACATTGGAACGGAGTTTAATCACAATTCACTGTGGTTTAAGATCATGTTTAAAAGGTTTTATTTGGTTTCCGCTTAAGCCTAGAAAAGTCAGTGCCAATTGGCCGCTTCACTTTCGTTCATTTCAAAAAATGACATTTTAGGAAATTCCACCAACCGCAGTGGGGGGCCATAATTTAGTTCAATATCTTTGGATACCAGGGGTGCAGAAACCTCCCCCAAAAAACTCACTCCCCCAAAAAACCTCCCCCACTCCTTAATTTGCATTATCCCATCCTGAGGTCAAGGTGCTCGACATATGTTTCGACTTCAATAGTCGAGCAAGCGCAGTTTTGCGACGAAAAAGTGGAGACCAAAAAGCAGTTTTAAGCCAAGGACAGTCAAACAGGTCGAGTACTGTCTCTTTTTCAAAAATCTTGTTTTTTTTTCTCGAAATTAAAAATAAGGAGCAAAGTAGATTTGCACAAAAAACTGTGTCAATGTTTTGAATTAGGAAATAATCAATTTAGGAATCTTGTTAACCGCAAACCGAAAAAAATTTGAGATGCATGTTTTTGAAATTGAACCTTTACTGACTTATGGGACTTAGGGGAAGAAAAAGTAGTACTGCAATTACCTTTTTACAAATATCAATTCTAGATTTTCCCGACTTTTTGGTGCAAATGAAGGAAAATTCATGCATTCATGCATCTTTTTTTTCGGTTCCAGATGATACTCAAAACATACCCCCATGTGGTCAAGACATTTGAAAAATATCCTATTTCAGTCGAAAAAGTCAGTAACAGTCAAGTAACAGTCAAGTAACGTCAGTAACAGCCAAAAATTGGATGTCATTTTGAATTTGAATTTCATACCTTTAAAAAAATTAAGAAAGGAAATTAAAGCCTCAGACTGTCTTTGGAAGTTTACAAAAAAGTGCTGCAAAAATAATCACTTCAAAAACATGCTGAACAAATTTCACAGCCGGCATACTTTTTTGCAAGTTTGGAACAATAGCTTAACATAACTGGTTATATCAGGTCAAAACCTTCAAGGCAAAACAACGGGTAATGGTGCTAATGCCATTTAAGTTGCAAAAGCAGCCTCAATGATAGAAGAAAGTGCGATAAAACGGTGTCGCTGATTTTTTTATTAGTCTATTTAGCTCCGGGACACGATGCTAGCACATTTTCTCTCATTTTGAAAGAAAAATGTGCTAGCAAAGCGAACCTCTAGCCATAAACCTTAATCGTTACCTTATTCTACTGAAAACAACAATTTGCTCAAAAGTTTAATTAGCTTTTAAATCGCAGCATCAGTAATCAATACTCTTTTCATTCATTATTAATCAAATCCAAGATAATGATGCAAATGTTAATTGCTGGCGGTTAATGCAAATCTCTATCAAGTACTTATTGTTAATCTTATCGTCTCCGTGAAGAAGTTTTTGCAGCTTTGTCGTTGGCGATGATCTCATGGCCTCAACAGGGTAGTTTGTAGGCGTGAACGCAATCATAATAAGCTGAAATAGATAAAAAGTTATCAAATAGGGTCAAAGTTTTCAACAACAAAAAACTCAAATCACAATAAAAATTGCAAGTCACAAAAGCTGGAACACCAATTTAAAAACTTAAAAAATAGCTCTGGGCAAGTTGCAGAAAAATTTCTGGCCACGATAATTAATAACGAAACGTTTTTTTTTAAAGTAAATTTTTATCAAATGGTGTCGTTTTTGTCCGTGATATGAGAGGACATAGTCAGAAGCCTTGAACTTAGTCATATTTGATAATTAAATTATAATAAGCATAATTGACAACTGTTTGTTAAACTGCACAGAAAACCTATGAAACTTAAAAAAATCCATAAAGAACCATAAAATTGAAAAAATATATATTTCTAAAAAAACCCACAGAAAAACAATTTTACTGGAGTAAAAAAGTTTTGTCACGGCTGACCTAAAAGTTTATTGTCTTAGTATAAGTCTTGCATTGTTTGCACAACATTTGACTGAGACCCCGAGAAAACTTATAGAAAAAATTCGAGTGTCGTTCCAATCACATCTTAAAGGTGTTTAGTATGATATATCACTCAATGCATTCCAAAGATTATTTGTGGAAACATTAAAAAAAAATTGTAACGTTTTCAGCACTATAATTAAAATCTTCAAAATGCTCCAAGCCTCACGAATGGCTAAGAGACCTTTTTTATTTGAGCTAATCAAGTTGATATCTTCGTTGATCAAGGTAACTACTTTTGGTCTCAGTGAATCAAATGTAGATAGACAGTTAAATAATAGTAGAACAAAACAAATTTTTAGGCTACAATAAATCAACTGAAAAAAAAATCGAGTATTCAAATTAGGTTGATGTAATTATCCTTGGGCTTCGATAAATTAACGGTGCCGATGTACAGACGAAAATACAAATTAGAATAAATAATTTTGGGCTACAATAAATCAACTGTAAATGCAAAATGTTTATGTTTTATGTCTATGTCTTAAATCAACTGCTTTTATAAGCAAACCATTCCAACAGATATATTCCGTTATTTTCCTTAAAAATTGCAACAAAAAAAATAACTATGCATGATTTGAAATCACCAATTAAAATAATTTTTTTTTTCAATTTCAGAAACTTTTTTTTGCAAAACTGGCACCACGTGAAATTTGTAGACCCAACAAAAACATCATGAGTTCAGCTTTGTTCCAGAAAAAAAACGAAAAGTTGGATCGTGGAGAATGAAGAAAAGCGAACTATCCTGAGACAAGCTAGACAGTCTTCGTTAAATCATCTGAGAATTATTGCTATTCTGGGCCTCAATATTTCTCGAAAAAAATTTTGAATTTTAAATCATTTTTACATAAAAATTTCAAATCAATTTATTGGGAAAATGGAACGTTCGTGTTTTTGTTTGCGATGCAATCAACTTTGATAGAGTTTCTACTCAAAACTTAAGCCCATCATTTCAATAAAACAAAATTTTTTTTTTCGTTCAAGAGTTTACAAAAAACTTTGCTGCCCTGATTGTCAAAAACAGCTACGGGAAATTTATATCAACTATTCTTGTTTTTTAAATATGTTTGATTACGAGGCCAAATTGTGGACTGGATAGGCGCACAATTTGGTGCGTGATTGTAGGTTTTTGGAATCCAGAGAAAAGACTTTGAGCCTGTTAACATTTTATCGGCACAATCAAAGAATACGAAAGAAACAAAGAAGATCAAAGAGAGCGTCCTAACTGCAGAATCCGCTTACAATTCACAAAATACACGGTTTGGCCGCTAAATTTTTTAAAACACTATTTTTGACATATTTTCCGTATCATTCTGTCAATGACGAGAATTGTGAAGTTCGTCACCATTTTTTGAAATTGCGATTATTTCAGCGAAGGAAAATTTCGAAAAACGTTGACCTCATGTTTAAATTTTTTTGGCTATTCTTTCCTATTGATGTGGTCAAAACTCACCCAAACATTTTGCAGCAGTTAAATCTTTGAAATGATACGGGTGTCTTTGTTGATCCGACTTTGCTTTAAAATGTCGAATGGAACTGCATGACGTGGTTACTTAGAAGCAAAGAACGCTTTAGAATGCATCGAATCAAATCATAATGTTTTCAGTCGTTATTCGAATCTGAAAAATACTTCAAAATAGCTACACGGTTGACCAAAAGTTGCAATTTTAGGAATTTTTTTAACAAAAATTTACAATTTTTTAGATAATAGGCTCTGGCAATCTTACAAGATAGGTACTTTCTTATAGGAAATTTGTAAGATATTGACTTTTCATACAAAACAATTGTAATATAGGAGTTTAAAAAAAAAACATGAAGAACATTTCCGAAGCCATAATATGATAACGAAGCTTCAATGTTTTCAATACGCCATAAAATGATAACGAAGCTTCAAGGTGGAAAACCAAAGTATTTCCTAAATTTGTTTTAATGCTTAATTACGGTAGAAACACATTCAAAAATTTTCTTTGGCGTTTTCAAATTTTTGTACGGGAAATTTATTAAAAAGGAAATATGTAAAATTTGGATAATTCCTCTGAAGCTTTTAGATATGGATACTTTGCAGAATTGTCAACGCGGGTGAGAAATGGCGTTAGGAAGTGTCTGCATTCCCGGGTTGACCTCCATACACAAAAAAATATTTATCATACAATTCCATAAAAGAAAAATGCTTATCGTGCAATTTCGTACACGGAGTGTATGGAAAAAACGTTTATCATACAGTTTCCATATATGAAAAAATGTGTGATGAGCAATTTTTTAGTGCTGCATAAAAAGTTTCCGAAGTAATAAAATTTCAAGAACTTTTTTTTGTCAATTTTTAGTTGCAATGTCAATTTCATGCTCAAATAAGCCTTTATTTGAGCCTTTCATGCTCAAATAAGCCAAAATTTCTTATTTTTGTCTATAGCGCAGTCTAGTTTGAATTTTCATACCAAAAAAAAAATTTGTCTGATGAAATTTTTTGATTCGAATTTGAAATTTGTGATAATTTTATACTATACGATACCCATCAATATGTGAAAAAAAAAATCATACCACGCTTTTCGACTATAAAATTTTTGGCTAGAAGTTTTTAGCCATATACAAAAGTGTGAGGCGTTTGTATATACCTCTGAGCGATCTGTGATAAGATAGCTTACAGTTACTACTCAAATGCCGAGTATCTGTGAGATTTCTTCCCTTTAACCATGGGGGGTTTCTTGTGTTGGAAAATCCCTGTTAATTGTGTTTTCTGACAAAACACATAAATATTTGGCAAAACTCGAAATTTAATTATTTTTAGATTGATGGAAAAACGCTTATCCATAAAGTTTTCATTCATGAAAAAATGCTTGTCGTAGAGTTTTCTTAAAATTTTTTTGTACGTATAGAACTGCCCGAAATTGTATGATAAAGTTTCTTCCACATATGAAAATTGTATGACAAGCATTTTTGAACAAAAATTTTTGGTTAATATGTTACTACAGTTTAGAGCTTAACTTCAGTTCAGTCTCGCTACCCAAAAAATAGAAGAAAATATAGCAAAAAAAATTAAAACAAAATAGAAAAAATTGATAATCGAATCAATTGACATAGTCTGATTCAGTGTTATTTCTGTTTGAGTGCATTTTTTTTAATCAACTGTTTTTGCGCTTCATGCTAATGGTTAAACTTGAGTTGTTAAATTTAAATATGAGAAATAATCATAAACCAATATTAACATTACCTCTTTTGCCGCCGCGTTTCATGTTGATATTGTGGTTGAGATCTTCATACATATTAGCTAGGCTGGTGTCATCCTAAAACACAGTCGAAGTCACAGTCAGTCACTAAAAATCGAATTTTCATTTATGATAGTTACAAAGAAATCAAATTGTTAACGAAAAAAAGGCCGCCAGGAGAAAAAGTATTGGCAATTTACGCATTAAAGAGATAGACTCTCAGAAAAGAGATGCGCTGATTATCAAAAAAAGGCTTCAAAAATTCTAACGACATTTGTATAGCTCAACCAAAGCAGCTTTCGAACTTTTTGTTAAGGCAACAAAATAACACAAACGAGTTTTCCATAAAAAGGGCTGATAAAGCAGCTTGTAGGCATTTTACCAGAAAGTTGTTGTTATTCATCTCAGGGGCGGATCTAGGATTTTCATTTTCTTGAGGGGGGCAGATTTTCGGTCGACCTTTTTTTAGGTCAACCAAAATAACTTTTGAGGTCTCCCAAATCACTCCCCATTTCGAGCAAATTTTCTGCGCCGCAGGCAAAATTAGAAAAAAAAATTAGACCAAAAAGGTGTTTTTAGGAAAATTTGATAATTTAGAAAAAAATCGGCCCGCGCGTCCCCCTCAAAATTAGTATATTTTGGCTGCCCACCCCCTTCCCCCTTAATTCCGCTGGTGATTCATCCCCTCCGCCTCTCCTCAAAATTGGATTGTATTTAAAGTTTCAAGATTTCTTTGACCAAAAAGCAAGATTTCGCAGAAAAGAAGCAAAAAGGGACTCTTTAGGCGGCGGAGGGTTCAAAGTTCTAATAGCAGTCCAGAAAAACTCTCAGCCCAGAAAACGATTAGCTATCTGCTGCCTGCTCTTTGAGTAAATAGCTAAACAGATCGAGTACTGGTTGTTGTATAATATAGAATTGAATTTTATAAAAAAATACGTAATCAAAGTTCTTCAAGAAACTCACCAAGTTGCTGTTGGCTTCTTCGAATGAGAAATTGGGAGCCTCCAAATGTCCGCCACCGATGTTATGAGAAGACAGATTTTCTCTTCCGAACGTTTTCGAATTTGAATTCGATAGAAATTGATCGAAAAACATTCGCATTTTCTCAACTTCGTCTATCCGCGAATTGCCTTCTGGCCTCGGAAACGCGGAAACCGGCGTCGCAACTATCGTGCATAGAGCAACAGTCGAAATGATAGTCAAAATTGATGTTTTATTGAAATTTGCAAATGTTTTGGAATTTTTGGGAAGTTTAGAAATGCGTTGAGAGTAATCGGAGTTCATTTTTTGGGAGCTGCGTGACGAATTGATTTTTGATGAAGTAAAAGATAATTGACTTTCGATGATTGAGTAGCTTGACATGTCAAAATTTATTATGGATCCGTTGAATTCTGACGTTCTTTTTTCCTGAGTCGCTCAGCCGGGAAAATATCACAAAGGTGAGTAGGTGACTTTGGCTGGAATTGGTTCAAACTGAGACTTCAGTCCAAATTTTGGATAGTTAGCAGCCCCTTTTTGTGATTTTCACCTTTCTCTGCAAAACGTCAAATTTTCGACCTATGAAAAAAATGCACCGGCTATCAGTTCCAACTATGAATATTTTTGGTTTGATGGTGCAATGACGCAGGTTTTTCTCTGACGTATTTCTGACGGGTGAACAAATAGTAAATTTTTGTAAGGAAATTAGCGGGTTCCCAATATAATAACACACCTGATGACCCGAGCTAGGAATATGAAAGTGTCATTATGCAATTAAAATTGTTTTTATTGCAGGAACAGCCGAGTGTCTAAATTTGACAAGCTCAATTACATTACATGCTGAGCCTAGAAAAAAAATTAAAATCCATCACTTGATGTCATTTCAATCTCAAAAACTTTGCTGAATGTTCGTAAAATAGTCTAAAAACCATGAATGTGCCAAGTACATAAAAATAAATAAGAATCAGCTTTCAAAACTATCAAAAAGTCATATCTAACAAAATATCATATCTCCTACTTCAAAATATTGAGGAGCAAATTAATTATTTAAAAGTGGGCCGGCCTAAATTGCGAAAAAAAATCAAATGATTTATTTGCCAAAAATGAAGACCATTTTTGCCCTACGGTCTGCAAGTTTTTCAAAAAGCTAGGTTTGAATCCAGATGAAAGCAAAGTTATAGTACAATTTTTTAGTCTAAAAGCTGGATTGGATTAATGTTTTTGGTTATGCGTGCTATAAATAATATTAACTGAATTCAATAAAATCACCTTTGAGCTTGATGATTTTCTGGTGTGATGCGAGGGCACAATGTGTTCCTTTTTTAGAATTTAGACACTTTTTTAGAATTATTGAGAAGAGTTTAATTATGTTGGCGACTACCGCCTCCTTTTTAAAAGAAATCTGTGGCTCAAAAAAGTCATCAGGGCTGGATTTAGGAGGTAAGACGGGGTTTTGTGATATTGTTTTTCACCAATTTTTTGGCAGACGAATCCTAAGATTTCTGTAGAGGTGGCTTAGCCGCCAATAATTACTATCCTTAAGATGGATATAAAAACTTTGATTAAAAAATGCCCAAAACGGTTTTTTGATCTCGATTTTCAAAAACAAGGCTGTGGCGCATAACTTCCATTGAAATAAGGTTTTTTTATCAATTGACGAAAGTTTGAAATACTAAATTAGTTGTCCTAAAAAATTGCACGAAATCTTAGAAAAAAAATTGGGTAACGTCAAAGCTGCAAGCTCTTGCGAGGCACCAAAGGAAACATGTTCTAATAAATTTTTCTGCGTCATAGATGAATCTCAAAAGTTTTGGACTGACTAAAAAACTGACTAGCAAATTTTTTCTTGTAAAATGGGGATGGAAATTTGAAATTTGTGCTTAAGTTTTTTTAAATTTTATCTTTTCCTGTTTTTTCCGCGCAAATTCAAATACCACAATAAATCATCATTGAACTGGGTTGAGTGATATACCATAATAAAGGCCTTATTTCTGTCGGAATTTGTGCGTTTTTTAACCATTTGTGAAAAAACGAACTTCCAATTCACGTTTTTTTTTAATATGAATATCGGAAATGAATAAAATATAGTCTTTTTTAAAATCTTTTCATTACACCACGCACAAAAAAAAAGAAACTAATTTAAAAAAAAAATTTGGATTTTTTTAGCATTAAGTCGCACTTGCACAGCAACCGGCTAATTTTGTTATTTTTTGATGTGATTAGATGTTCTAAATCAAAACTAAGATGCGTTTCTTTTAGACACAAGGCTGATTTTTGTAGTTTCAAGTTTGGTGAACATCAAAACAGATTTGCAAGACTGTTCAGAAAAGGAGACGGTGAGGCGTGTTGCACCACGAAAATTTGTTACGCAAAGAAAACAAACAAAAACAGAATTACAGTGTGATAAGATAGAACTTTAGAAGTCGCCAAAAGTAAGCGCAGATGTGATGGCAAAAAAAAAACAAAGTGGATCAAACACAATTTTTTTGTGTTTTCCAAAATTTGAATTACGTTACGGTAAAGGATGCCTAACCTCTCGCCTAGCCTAAGTTTATATGGAAGCTTGCCCGAACCCACTGATTTCATGTTATTTGCGACTCTTGACCTCGGATGAGCGCTCTGGCAAGCACCTTTGAGAAAACAAGACATTTAGAAGACATGGTATTACTGTAATTAAGGTCGTTGCAGTAGATACGCATGCGTTTTGAACTCTAAAAAATTTGATTAAGTGGTATGTGGATGACGGGGACGCCTCAGTGGTGGCAGTTTCAGGAATACTTAAACCAGTACACTCATGAAGCGGTCCCGCACCGAAGTTTCATGGATAATTAGCGATTATAATGGATTTTCGTTGACTAAAATATTGTCAATATAATCGATTATCATGTCAAATTTAGACCACATAATGGATTTTTAAACCAATCTTGAAACCAATAGCCTACGGTAGAAAAGCCCTGAGTAATAAACAATCAAAGGATGAACGATTTTATTGCGATTTCAGGGCGAAAAAATAGATTTTGTTGAGATTATGTGGAGATAAAAATAGATTTTAGTGGAATTATAATGCAATATAATCTTCATGAAAATAATCTATTTCCTCTCTATTAAAATAGAAAATGTTGCCTAAATTGGTTACACATAATCGATTATAATGGCAACATTTTCGGCAAAATTTTCTCAATATAATCTATTTTTATCCGAGAAATTTCGGAGCGGGGAGGCTTCAAAAAAAGAGAAGTTTGAGGTCATATTTTTCGAGGAAAAACAGAACGTATTTTGGCAGTGCATCGTTCAATTTGAAATTAGACAGCAGCGCGCATTCATTTTTGGTACAAAATCCTCATATGCTTTAGCCGTTGATTTGTTTCTTCATAGGGGGAGGGGTATTCGTTACTAGGTACCCGAAGGTAATGTAGTTAAAGAGATTCGATGTGGTGAACCAAGTTTGGTGGTCAAGGAAGTGATTTCTGCTTCGTAGTGTTTACGTTTGTCGAGCATGTCTCGCCACTCGAAAAGCTTAATGAGAAGAAATTGTGATGTGCTGAAAGCTTCCGAATGTAAGGAGGAAAGGGCGTGGGTCCAAATTACCAAAAATCTTAAGTTCTCGAAAAAAAATGAATTTTAGTTACTTTGAAAGCCAAAATCTTGCTGGCAAACTATTAAGAGACATTTAAAAAGAGATTGACATTGATCAAGTCCATACAAAGATGATGTTTGTTGATAAATTGATGGACAGTTTCGATCCATGAGTATTCTCTCATGGATCAACTTTCTCATTGTTTGGTGCATGCGTTTTGGCATCTTGAGTACATTAAATCGTATTTGATCTAGGCTAGTGAAGGAATAGAGTTGATAAGATTACCTCAATACGAGGCCGAACTGTGCACTGGATAGGCGCACAATTTTGTGTCTGCATGTTCCTGGATTCCAGAGACAAGTACTTAAACATGTTCTAAAATGTAAGTGGATTCCATTTTCAAGACTTACGTGGAATCCGCGTACATATACTTGAAAAGTAAATTTTGTCGGCACATTTAATTTGTTGCGGAATCCGCAACAAGCAAATATAGCTAGTTGTTATGTATGAATACCGCAACTGTAAGTGGATTCCCCAAAAATAAATGGAATCCGCAAACGTAAGAGGAATCCGCGAAATTTGTGAGCGGAATCCGCAAAATTAAGCGGATTCTACAAACTGTAAAAAATTCAGAAATTTTGTTTATTAGTGAACTTGATTATGCACTTGCGGAATTTAAAGATAGGGACTTATTCATTGTCAGCAAAGTCCACGAAAAAATCTTAAAACAATGGTTAATAAATCGATGAATGCCACACTTTTGTATTTGCAAGCAGTTTTTGGGATCATAGTTTTGAAAACACATCAACGAGCAAAATTGTTGGGTTAATTTGGTAATTGGGTTAATTCATTATTGGGTTGACAAACGTCCGAATCAGACGTTTGGCATTCCAACTGGTAGCTGATCAACGTGTAGTAATTAAAAGATATATTTTTAAACGCTACTACATATACATGTATGTAAACGAAATCCGCAAACAAAATGCGGATTCCACTTACAATTTGCGTATTCCATTTACAATTTGCGGATTCTACTGACAGTTGCGGTTTCCGCAACAGCTCAATTCAACTATACACATGTCTCATTTTTGTTTGTGTATTGCAGAAACTGTTCTGGATTCCGCAAATACGGTTGCAGATTCCGCAAACTCGTTTATTTTTGGAGCAATTTTGAACGGTACAATGTTTTAGGTATTTGATTGTGGAATCCAAAACAGCGAAGAAGATCAAAGGAATGTAGCAATATTGCGGACTTCTTTCATGAAAACAAACAACAAAATAGTTGAATATCTCAAGTCTCTCCAGTTAGATTGGTCTTTTTAATTGTCGATAAACGCATTACAGTTTCTAGGCCATCAGCCGAACGGAGGCTACAAAGACTTTTTTTGAGTCATTGTAAGTCATTGTTAAGAGTTTTTGCGCAAGAATTTAATTTTTTATCAAAAAAATGAAACTTTTTCGATGAAAACTCAAAACACTATAAAATTTGATTTAATGCAAGCCAAGACATGTTTTATAAGATAATGGGATGCTCAACCTAGCTGAAACCTGCCGAAAGTACAAAAAAAATCAAATTTTCCGAGAAAAATAAAATTACAAAAAAGTACATAAACCACTGCATCGTATAGTAAATTTACTATATTCAAGTTGTTGCGCTTGAAATTGAAAAGAAGAAATGCTGAATAAAATGCGTAAAATCTACAAAAACTATCAGTTTTTTGTAGTTTTGTAGGAGAAATCCGCCGAAACATTTTGTTAAAGAGAAATAAGTGATCTTTTTCTTCCCAAAGAATTAGCAAACGTGTAGATTTTTGTCAAACGGAGCAGAATGTTATCCAAGTTGTTGTGGTTGAAAATGAAAAGGAGAAATGCTGAATGAAATGCGTAAAATCCACACAAATTATCAGTTTTTTGTAGTTTTCCAGGAACCATTCTCGGAAACATTTTGTTACAGAGAAATAGGTGATTTTTTCCCCAAAGAATTAGCAAATGTGTAGATTTTTGTCCAAATTGTTGTGGTTGAAATTAAAAGAAGAAATGCTGAATAAAATGAGTAAAATCTACTAAAGTTATCAGTTTCTTGTAGTTTTCTGGGAACCAGCAGCCAATACACTTTGTTAGAAAAATAAGTTCATCTTTTTCTATCCAAATAAATAGCAAAGTATCACGTTTTGTCCAATCGAGCAATCAGATTTTTTAGCTGAGGTACTTTATCAGATGGGTGAGATCCCATGTACTTGAAGCTGAGAAGGAAATCTTTGAATAAATTTTACAAGTTAAAAATCATCAATCATTGTACTTTTAAGCTAATTTATATCTAAAATGAAAAAATTGATAGTTTGATAGCACACTTTAGGATAAGAAAAGAAGTAGGATTGATGACTTACATGCATTTAGGTACTGAATCAACAAAATCACATACACAGGAAAAGGTTATAAAACATTGCTTTATGGTTTGGGTGTATTATTTCCTTGAGTTTTAAATTATGCAGCATTCATTATCTATTTTTACGGGGTCCGAAGAAAAAATAGATTGTTCAAATAGAATAAAAAGAAAAATCCCAAAAACTTAAATTATATTTTATAGAAAACTGAAAACTCAAAAAGAAAAATAAACCTTTTCAGCGACTGTTTCGATTGGTCAATTAGAACAATTGATAGTTCTTCTCCTAAGACTATCATTTCTATTAATTGCTATAATGAAAACTAGAAAAACATCTAATCTCAAGTTCCGGATAAGGCAATTGTTCAGCTGCATCCTGTGGTG